ATATACATACATACACACACACACACACACACACACATATTTCATTTTCATTCTTCTTCCAGCAGTAATGAAAGATTTGGCTCAGAAACTTAGGAAGCCAAATTCCAGCTTTAAGTTTCCACTTGCTGTTGCCAGGTACTAACTCCAAAATATCTCTTTTTACTGAGAACCCTTCCAAAAGGTGCAGCTGTGTGCTGGTTTCATCTTGCACTTTGTAGCTGTGCTGGCAACCCCTAAGCGTAAGGTATGCTCCGCTCTCCCGCACGCCCCGTTGCCTCAGCGCTGTTGAGGCTTGTCGCGCGAGGAGCTCGCAGGCACCCCGCGTCCTGCTTCATCCCATTGGTTCTCACTGCGGCGAGGTAAAAATAGAGCTAGTGGGAAATGCAGCTTTTGCAGTGTGTCATCAGAAGCTCCCTTACTGTCTGGAGACCTGCTCCCAGACTTGTGGCTAGGAAGAAGACACAGACACTGTCTGACAGCTCTGTAGAGCCTTAATCTTCTGGAGACGGTGGGATTTCCAGAAAATTGCAGGATTTCTTTTGGAGGGGGGAAATGATTACTTTAAGTGAAAAACTGATACTGGATTGCAGCAAAGGGATCTCCAAAGTTGCTCAGATTCTTAAAGGTGGATTTGGTTCTCCAAGCCTCAGTGCTGTGCTGCAGCATGCTTCAAAGCAAAAGATACTTTTGAAATCAGGTACTAAGTGCAGGTTGCATGTGGGGTTTTATTCTCTTTCCTTTTACTAAAGGTTTTCCCCTCCTTCTGTAAATCTCCTAATATGCATGCTGTGTTTTCCTACAGAACATCTAATCTAGAATAATTACTTTCTTTTATGGTATCTTGTGTTCTGGCTCCAGAAGTCAATTTTTCTTTTTCTTTTTTTTTTCCACAGACTTAGCTCTAGTTACTTCCTCTGCCATTTCCTGTCAGCATTTTGAAAAAGGAAAGGCAACATGCCCAAATTTCCCTGACTTCTGTGTAAATGTTATAAAGTGGCTTCAGTTCTACGAGTGCTATTAAGTCTTTTTTTCTGGCAGATGGATGTTTCCTGAGGCTTTTCACTGTTAGATGACCGTTATTTTCCATCTTGTGCAAAAGGCGGAAAGTTTGAAGTACAAATGGCACTATGATACTGTGGATATTTTATATAGGAGATAACAGTAATGAATAGGCAATCCCAAAATTGGTGGGAAGCTGAGTAGTTTTAATTTGTCAAGGCATCTCCGGAGTGCTTTTAAAGTCAACATTTTTTCCTCAGCATTATGGAGCACTGTAGTTGTTTTTATTAGTTGTGTTATTGTTTGATTACTGTGTTGAAAGTAAGTGTAGGTTTTGTTATTGCCACTGAGTGTGTGTCTGTATTGATTTGCTGTAGAACTGCTACTCACTAGTATGTTTAGTATTAAAAGGCAGGTGAGTATCCTGAGGTTTTAGGCAAATTCGTACTTACGAATTTTATGGTTTAGGTATTTACAAAATAGATTGTCATTGTTTTCAAAGGCTTTGTTCATATGTAGAAGTTTGCTAGTTTTCCTGGTAGCTGGAAATACATGCTCTGGAGAAGAGGATTTGGATATAGAGAAGAAGAAAAGACACCGAAACTCCTCTGTACTGCCAGAATTTTAGTATTAAAGCAGTTACATATTTTAGTGTAGGAGAGGAATGAAGGAAATCCTTTATTTTAATCAATCTGAGGTTTGCTCTACACTGCAAGGTCTCTGTTTCCTCTGTTTCTCTTTCTTCACTCCCTTCTTTCCCCAGCGTCAGTTCAGACTCCTCCTCTGCAATCGAGATGAGTGCCAGTCTTCAGAGATGATGCAATTTCATCACCGCTACTTACGGGGAGAAGGGCACTTTGTATAATTAGCTACCTAAGGAACAGAGAGTTATTTTCAGAAGTAAAATATGTCAACTCTGTTCTTAAAACCTCATCTTTCTTTACTGCCATGTAAGGGATACATTCTATGCCTTTATGCCTAGTATTATAATAGGAGCTTTTTCATAGCATACCCTTTATAATGACTCTGATTTCATCATCTGATTCTTTCAGGAGATTTTGCATTATCATAAAGGAGATTTGTAGTTTGGGGTCAGAAGAAACTATTTGACCAGAGTCTTACAAATCAGATAGGCTGTGCTTCAGCGTGTCTCAGCTGGGGCTGGAATAGAGAGTCTTGTATTTGAGCTCAACTTGTGTATAGTAAAGCAGAAATGGGTATAAAGAGGTGAAAAAGATCTGTTTCCTCCATAGGTAATTTGTTCTGCACTAATAAACATATTTGGAGTTTGGCAGGTTTACCAGATCTTCATCAATTCAACACATGCTTTTAAGCATGTATTTAAGTTTCAATCAAAATGTTTCACTGAGTCAAATATCTGTCAAAACTTCAGAGTTTATTATGATTACTCATTTGCATTTTTCAGCTAATTCTGATCCCATCAAGGAAGGAAGTAGTGTGGTTTTTAGCAGGACTGATCCTCTGTGAAGCTCTGCAGGCAATCCCTAGTAACAGTGCTGCCTTTTACTGCTTTATCATATGGGTCTTGTATCAGGTTTTCCATTATTTTGTCCAGCTCTGGTATTATATCTAGCTTGTAGTCATCAGGGTCATCTTACTTGTCCTTTCAGAGTGCAGATAGAGCATTAAACCTCTTTTGATCCCCTGGAGTTGCTCTGATATTTCCATGATTTATTAAAAAGTAACAGCAGTAGGCCAGAAATCTCTGTAGGCAACTCTTTTGGGACTCCTGAATGTTCATTTTCTGAGCCTCCTAAGTTAAGCTTTTATGACTAACAGATGTTTTTCTAATGTCCTTTTTAGTTATGAATGGACTGGAAAGTATTTCATCATTATCATACCATCATTCTGCTCTTTTTTTTCTTTTTTTGCAAGTCACATGTCTCAATGTGCAGTATGTTCCACTTCCATTATTAGTTTATAAATAATCATTTTTTATTTATTTTTAACTTCTCAGTTTTCTTCCCTTTCAAACATTTCTGTACTTTCCTAGCTACCTTTCCTACGTTTAAATTGTTGGAATTTTTAAAGAGATATCTAATTGCTGTCTTCAAAATAGTGTGACTTCACAGCCATTTTTTTTTTCTCATTTGTGGGAAGTTCCCCTTTTGCTTTTTTTGTTTTCTCTCCCAGAGAGTAATGCTCATGATTTTGTTCAGTTTCAGTCTTCTAGGAATGCAGGTTGTACATACTTATGCATGCACATTTATGCATGGTGAACTTAATCAGGTCAAGATCACCACCTCTTGGCAGCTGGCAACTTTAACTTCAATGATTAAGCTATGTTTATCAATCACAACCCATCAAAGTATGCCAGATGTTTCTGGCAGCTGTTTAATAAGAATATATATATCACAGAGCGGGACATTCCTCTACACAGCATGTTCCTTTGGTGAGGAACTGCGTCATGTGAAAAACAACTTTGTATAAAATCACTGTGCAGGATTGCTTGAAGCTGCCAGATGCTCCTTTCAGATCATCCCACCATTTGTTTTTCACTTATCATTAAGTAAAACAAACATTTTGCTTCAAGAAAAGTGTATTGTTAATACTATTAGAAATGAAAAAAATGAAAACAAATGGAAATTATCGCTGAGCTTTCCTGTGAGTATTAGGACTTGTTTTGACTGCTCTTCCAGGCCTTTCTGCATTTGTTTTACCCAGGGGACTGGCAGCTCCCACATGGTGATATGTTTAGCTCCCTCATCTGGTTGCCCACTGAATGTTATGTTTCAGGACAAAAAAGCTAATTTTCTCTAACTTAAATTGTGTTTCCCTATGTTTTTAAAATAGATTCCAAACATTTATTTTATTTTCTTTTTTCTGGTAGTGTTAAGGGTGATTCTAGCAGTGATTTAGATCTCTAGAAGAAGATGCCATAAAATGCAATTGTCGTCATTTTTATTCAACTCTTGATTAGTTGTGTAGTGTTCTCGTTTAGGCTCAGCGAGTGGGATGTTTGCACTGTCTTCTACAGCTGATAAAATTAATCTGTTCAGTGTTTAAAAATTAACTGGTTGCATTATGTGTCATAGCTTTCATAAACAGAAATCACTTTCCACTGCTGCTTAGTGCTTTTTTTAATTATTATTTTTTTCTTTTACAGGTTTTTCACTTCCAGATCTTACTGAGCAGTTTTCACCTCCTGATATTGCTCCTCCAATCCTTATCAAGATAGTGGAGACAATTGAAAAGAAAGGTAAGCAGAAGGCCTAAAAAGGTTTGTTACTTGTGTTAGCCAAGACAGCAGTCAGATTTAGATCTGTTAATGTATCACATTACTCAACTGATATGAAAATAATCAAATTTAAGGATTATTGTGTTGGTTTCTGCTCAACAGAGGCTGCTTGTATTATAGGAACAATAGCAAAGCTTGCCCCAAGTGACATTTAGTAACCTAACTAATGTATTATTGAAACTGATGGGGGTGATTGATTTTTGCTTTGTATTTTCAATAGATGAACACCTCAAGTTGCTCATGAAAACAGCATCATAACTTTGATACAAGGCTAAGCAAGTAATGTGTTGGCCCAAAGCACAAAAAAAAAAAAAAGAAAAACTTGCAAGCGCTGTTTTTTTTCTTTCCATTTCAGAAACAAGTTCTATATTTCTGTTGTTTGCTGAGCCAGCCAGTGTTCCTTGCATGTTTTTTTGACTCTCCTCCTCTCCTCTGATCATGTCTCTCCATCCTCTTGAGGCTCTCCCTTTTTCTTCTTCTGTGCCCTCTCTCTTTTACCCTTCATTTCTTACCTTGGCCTCTCCTCTGACAGGCAGCTCTCGTGCACTAAGAAGCTGCCCACAGGGTCCTGCTCACTGAGAGGCCTTGGAGCCTGGGCGTGAGAGGGAGAGTGCTAGTTCATCTGATTCAGACAGCTGTCCTTGGGACACGGCACCTCACCTAGTGCTGTGAGGCTTTAGGAGAGTACAAACTCCCATAAAAATGAGCGGGTGCTTGCTATCCTCAAGGAGAGGGGACAGGGTTTAGTGACAGCTTGCATAAGCAGGTACGGCTTCCAGGAAAACCCCATAATACTGTTAAATCATTGCTGCTCTGCATCCCTGGCTATGTTCTCTTTCCATGTCTCTGCTGTTATGCAGGAGAGTTCAAACATCTGCTTTTCTACATTTCTCTATCACTTTTTTTAATCTCGTTTGAACACAATTATGAGACTAACACTGTGGAATCCAAAGACCTGATGTTTCTACCTAGCATGTGTAAAGAAAGATCTGGGTGCTCCCATATCTTTTACAAGCTGTTTTCATCCTGGGATATGTGTCTGCTTCCTCGTTTTGGCCCTCTAAAGTCAGCCCATGGAGAGCTGTAAAGAACGCATGAGTCTTCCAGGATCTCTGATCCTTCTTGGCCAGTAGTTTCTTCAGACTCAGCAGTTTGCATGCACAAAGAGGTATATTCCTATCCTAAAAAGCAATCACATCCAGTAGTTTAAGCAAGAGAATGGTGGTGGGAGAATGTTGGTAAAATATACTGGTTTCGAAAAAAAAACCCAATGTTGTTTCATGACAACTGTTACAGAAATATTAATGTCTTCACCCATTTATTTTGTTTTGAAGGTCTGGATTGTCCAACTTTGTATGGAACACAAGGCTCAAGCAGTTCAGCAGAATTGAGACAAATTCTTGAAAGTGGTAGGGACAGCTCCTTAAAACATTAGATTTTTGTGATCAGATTGATCATGTTTGCTCTGCTTCTCAGCTTATATATGATCTGCTTCTGAATCATACAGCATAAGGCCCAGTTTAAAGTAAAAGTTTTGTAATTTTTAAGCTTAATATGGAAGGTATTTTTCACTAATGTAGGTTGTGTAATTTTTTTCATGGCTCTGTTGCTCTTTCTCCTTTCAGAAATAATTATTTTAATCATTCTTCTGTAATTTACTTATTGAAAGACTAAAAATTTAGCTGTACCAAAAAGAAAAAAAAAAAGTTGTTTTGTGAGAAGCCAGATAAACTATTCCTGCAAGTCTGCAGGTTAAAACGCAGTTCTGTACATGCATTTGTTTATGCAGCCTTTCTGATTCCTTTGGTCCAGCAACTGGAGAGGCAATAACTGAACACCCCCTCCCTGGCACAGGTGGAAGGTGGAAGGAAAAGGAAAAATAAGTTGAGGGAGAATTAAATCGACAGGGGAATTCATGTTGCTGCAGTAGGCAGGGTTCTAGTACACTTTTGTTTTCTCTTTTGTGCTGGAGTGAAGTGACATGGCAGCACTTGAGGGCACTGTGAGAGATCGTGAGCTCTGCTGTTGTAGTGAGAGTGCTCGGCCGCACATTTGCAAGCAAGTTGGGGTGCAGGTGTGAGCTTCCTCTTGCATAAAAGAGCCCAAAAATACAAGGGCTAAGAGATGAAACTGGTTACATGCAGTCTCGCCAGAGGGGAAAGCAAGCAAACTCAAACCGTGAATTCAGCACTTTTCATTTTTAGTAATTGCAAGTGTTAACAAAATGAACTAGAGATGATATTTTGAGCTGACTGTTCCTTCAAACCGAAAGAGCATCCTGTCTTTCACTTTGGTGGGAGGGAAGAAGTACATGTGTGCATGCAGGGAGGGGAGATATGCATGTGGTGCTAGCAGCCAGAGCATTATTTTTAGTATTGCAATTGTATTTTTCAGTACAGATAAATCCAGATTTTCCAAGGCACCAATACTAAAATATTTCATAACTTACCTGAATCCCTCATTTGAGTGTCTAAACTGATGTACACTTTTATGTCTATCTCCCAAGACTGAAAATTTGTGGAAAATTTGTTCTTATTTAAAATACAATTATGTTTAAGGAAATGAAAATAGGACTTTACCCTTTAGTAACAGAGTGTCTTTCCCTCTCATTTTTGAGACAGGATCCAAATCTTCCAGGACAAAGCCAGTATAAGAGGCTTTCAGACAGATGGATATAGACAGCTCTGATCTCTGCCTACTCTCTGAATTAGAAGAATGCCAGTCAGTTATGTTCTCAAGGTTGAGCTACGTTAGTGTGCTGTTGTGCTTATGGTTAAAATACTCTTCATATTAATTGGATAGCTGCCCATTAGCTTTAACACAGTGCTATCTGCTCCAAAATCAAATCTGACTTGCATCTGGCCAGCTCAGCAGACATGAGAGTTCAAATCTGGTTATGATGTTACACCCAAAGAGCTGTGGAATACCAGAAATTTATTCTCACTAAAGCATTGATTATAATTTGCAATATACTTCAGAGAATGGTTCAGAGCGAGAGAACTAATGGAAACTATTTCCTGTAAATTTGTGGTTGGATTCTCTGTTTTCTACTTACCCTTGTGGCATCCTATGCTGCAGTTTTTTACTTTCTGAGCCATTCATAATGTCCATGTTCCTATGTGGATTCTTTGGTATCTCGTAAGGATTGAGTTCATGCAGCAAGCTTTTTGATGGGGAAAACAGGAAGGAGGAGGAGGAGCAGCAGTACTAAGTGCCTCACTGTCCTCACTTGACTGCCTTTTCACAGTACTTGTAGACATACCATATCGGAGGCCTCAGATATCTGAGGCCTCTGTTGAGCTTGGTTCAGAATGGCCAAATAGGTTCAAGAGTTATTTTACAGAGAACTTGACAAACCTGAAAAGTCTGTCAGTGTTAATGACTCTAAATTCTTGTACCAAACATGGATTTTTCTGTAATCATTTGGGTCTTTCTGGACCAGTTTCATGTTTAAGAAGAAACTAAATATTACTTGAATTAGACAAGCATTTCTGAATTTGCCTGATATTCAGCTAGTCTTTCATGTGACACCCTTAAATCTTATTCCAAGTTGTAACCATGCTGGAAGAACCCCAATCTTTACAAGAAAAATCCAAACTTCTGCATAAAACACCGAACACCCAATTCTGCAAGTGCGTATTTGTTTCCACTTACTGACATAAGTATTTACAGACTTGGGGCTTCAAGTTGTTAATGTAGCTTCTAGTCATAATAGCAGTAGCTACTAGTAGAAAAGCTGCGTTTGACCAACCCCCTGATTAATACTTCTTACACAAAATATTTACAGAGAAAACACGGACTTGTTAAAAATATTCTGATGTTCGATGACATTGCCAACATACAGCATGTCACTACCATTATTTTGAGTCTTAGTTCAGTCTTGCAAAGCATGTGACTGGAGGCCACATGTGGCTCTGGAAGCCATTTGATCCATCAGATACCAAGAAGGCATGTTTGTTGTATTAAGTACTGTATATTCTTCATCTCAAGTATGTGTCTTAGAGTGTTTCTTCCAAGCTGTTTGCTATTAAAACAGATACAGGTTAGAAGATTTGACCTGATATAAAATTCTAATATAACAATCCCTTACATTTCTCTGATTTCTCTATCTGAAAAACATGTTGTTCTTTTTTTCCTTTAGATATTTCTTCTTTGGATTTAGAGACATTTGATGTGCCTAATTTATCAGATGCTCTCAAGAGGTATCTCCTGGACCTGCCAAATCCCATCATTCCAGCAGCTGTTTACAGTGACATGATTTCTGCAGCTCAAGGTATGAATATAGAATATTTCAAACATCGAACAAAAAACAAAATTTGTTAGAATTCTGAGTATCCAGTGATTCAGCTGCTTCATTGTCTCCCACAAAGGTGGGAGATTCTGCACAACCTGGCAAAGTCTCAGAATAAAATGTATGCATTCACTGATCTTAATGAAAGCTGCTTCAATTCATATCCAGAGATGGATTATTTACTTCTCTATTTATGCAAACATAATGGAAAATATAAGGGTTAACACAGTTCTCTGTCTTTTAAAAAAAGTAGAATAGCTATAGAAGAAATGGGGGGAAAAATCAAGGACTTATCTGTATGCAGAAAGCTAATTTTTAACTTTTTATCAGTGCAGACAAAGTACATGAATTAGAGGTCATGATGTTCTGCAGTATGTTGGGAGTTATAGATTACAAAGTGACAAATACGTGCTTATAAGATTCATCACCTACACAGTGGTCATTTTGGACAAGTGCAGTTTACAGGCTCTCAGCACGTGGGCCAAGTATTCTGTTGTATATCTCGGGACAGGATATTGTTACTGGTAACCTTCAAAGTTAGAACAGCACCTGTGAGACTTATCTAGTGCATCTCAGAATTACCCAATCATGTGTGACGCTAAACACAAGACAGACTTCTACCAGTACGCTCTGAACACATTGTGGTTTTTACCAAAATGCATATCTGTTTCCATTTGACTTTGAAATACTTGTTCTTTACTGTTCCCTCAGCATTTCACTTTTTTTTTTTAGAAGAAGAAACAAGTCTTAACAGCACTAAGGACAGAATTTACAATTTTTTTTTCTGAAAAATTGATGCATCCAAAGGAATTACATTCCAGTTTGATTTTACTAGTTGAATGTTCTTGTGCTGATATCAAGAACCTTTTATCTGTTTGCTTGCAGAAGTGCAGAGCTCAGAGGAATATGCTCAGTTGCTGAAGAAACTCATCAGATCTCCAAATATACCTCCCCAGTATTGGCTCACACTCCAATATTTGCTCAAACATTTCCTCAGACTTTGTCAAGCCTCCAGCAAAAATCTCTTGAATGCAAGGTCTCTAGCTGAAATTTTCAGCCCTCTGCTTTTCAAATTCCAGATAGCAAGGTATGTGGGACATCTTTATTGTCTTCTATATTGTAAACATGGGTTAGCTACATACAAGAGCAGGTTAAATAAATTGCTTTCTGACCTTACTTTTGCTGTGCTTTTTGGAAGACATTATTACAAATTTTTGCAATGCTTTTTGAGTAATGCAAGTAAAATCTTTTGCACTTTCGCTGGTTCTTATTGTCTAATTCATCTCTTGCAGCTCTGATAATACTGAACACCACATAAAAATCTTGGAGGTTTTAATCACAAGTGAATGGAATGAGAGACAGCCTGTACCAGGTAAAAAAATGTACTTTAAAAAGTTAATATACTCCTCTTTTCTTAAATATTAAAATTCAACATAAGGACACCAAATGCTCCTATTTTAAATTTGCTTATTGCAGAACTGCATAATTACTGAACTGTATAGAAGTGGTCTATATGTATGCAGCATTTGTTTTATAAATTTTGTAGTAAAATTGTTTCAGAATCCATAGTTTGTATGTTCTTAGGATTTCTGTTGCATTTTCATTAAGCATTGAATGGGTATTTGTGCACTTTTATTACCTGCAAACCAAGAGTCCATATCATTAAATGCACCGGAGGGGGCAAATTCTGAAGATGCTACTATCTCTCGCTGTAGGCCTAGCAAAATTTTCTTGAAAATACTATACCCCACAGATCATCTGAATAAACTAGAATTTGACCCTTTGTTTACTTTACTTTGTTTACACATATTTTTAAATCCAGAGTCTTGAGACCTTTATTTTTCAGTACTAATGCCCTGTTCAGGAAAATTAGATGACACTTTTTCTGATTCTATGAGAGTGCATGTAGTTTAGTCAACAAACAGTAAGATCCACCTCTAAATTATGCAAAACCCACTGTTTTTAAATCAAATATTTGGTATGAGCAAAGCAGAGTTGCCAACTGTGTGCAAAGGAAATAGTTAATTCAGGGGACTTTAGGTAGTAGCTTAAAGTAATCCTTTTTACAGCTTATTGACAAAGAATATCCTAACAAAGGATAGGGGCTGGTGAACAGAGCTTTGGGCATATTGTAGCTCTACTACCTCTCTATTAAAAGTACAAGGTAAAGTTCATGTCAGTGGGATTTTCAGGACTGTTTAAGATTTGAAAAGTTAAAGCAGTCAAATCAACTGAAGCAGGCATTCCCAGCACCACTGTATGTTTTTTCTTCCTAACATTTCAGTAAAAAAAGAAAATCAGAGCCTAAACTTTTAGTGTCTTATTTTACTAACTTTTTGTTAAAGAGTGATTTTATCCTTGCCATATGTTATAAGCCTTAACAAAGCAAATACTCTAATATTCTAAAGACTTGATAATAGCACTCTCTGAAAATATTTGTTTAAAAACACTTTTGGATATGTAAATTTACATGGCTTGAGGCAGTGGGAGAATACAGAGGTAGGATCAAGAAGTGTGAAATTCTCGAATTGCACTTAAGAGATCAGTTATGTGCATTTAGTTATGAGTTGCTTTATACTAGTAAAATTTACAAGTGAAAGGTGTTTGTCAGACGTGCCAGTGAGGATAAGGAAGGAGTTTAGTCATCCTGAGAGTATCTTAATATATGTTTCACCAGAGCCCTTGAAATGCAGCTGTATCCATCAAAATTATGAATGAATTAATGTTTTGTAATGCAGTTGGTTATTCTGTGGGTCCTTCTGGGATTTTTCATGTGATCCATTACCAAAAAAAGACCTCCTTTCATGTGTGTTTCAGGGTCCATGCTGGACAAGAGAATGTATTTTAGTAGAGCATTTGCACATTTATTAACATGCTGAAAAAATTAGATGCAGATTTTCAAACTTTGTAGCCTGTAGTTAATTAACTTCTGCTCTAAGGCCTATAAACCACTTGAATAGTTTTCAGACATTGAGTATTTACAGAATCTTAAATGATTCTTTACCAGATTGGGAAACAAATCTATTTCTCTCCCCCAAAATCTGTCATGTGATTGTCTTTTAAGTGCTGAGTTTTTATAGTTCTTGTAGAAGCCTGTGAGACATACTTTTTAAAATTACCAGCTCCAAGATTATTATTTTACAGTGGCTTGACCTTCCATCAAAAGTGTTTTGAGACATTATAATAAAGGAATAATCCTAGAACAAATAATCTATTTCTTATGTAAGTGTTCTTAACAGAGAATACAGATCGGTAATAGCATTGTTCATAACTTAAGAGGTTTTTAGCAGAAAGAATCTTTTTTTTCGTTGAAAATATTTTAATGACAACTAAGTGATAAAAGGTAAGCCAGTGCTGCCAAGTTTAGTTTCTGCTGACTGTTCGCTCATCACCCAGCAAGTATCCTTCTTGCTTCCAAAAAATAGGAATTACACAAACAGAAACAACATCTTAACTTGGGCATTTTATGGCTACAGTGATGCTGGCTACGCGCTCCCTAGTGCAAAGCCAAGAGTTACTGTCAGACCCCTAGCTGATTTTTTTGTTGCATAACTCTGGACTGACATTTTCCTTGTCACAGTGTTCAATGGGAAACTGCATCAGAAAAGAATCTAGTCCTGCGTAAGTTAAAATACTGAAGTTATGTGAAGTGTGCTAGTAGTATGTGAAGTAGTATGTGAAGACCAAATAACGTTTCAAGCGAATATCCCATTTTAACCACCCAACTTGATGGACAGCCACAGAAATATTAAAAATACATTGAAAAAAATGAGCTGCAAGTTCTTTGTAGGCATATAGGGCTGGAAGCATTTTCATATCATTTTGCTGATCGTGAAGCAAAGCAGCGGCAGGTCGCTGGGCTGTGCAAGGGGGTGTTTGGGACATGGCCACTAGCCAGCAAGCGCCAGGCATCCTGCCAGGTGGCTGCCATGTGGGGACAGTTACAGCTCAGGGCCAGCAGACAGGTCACACAGAGAGGAGTGGGGAGTTGGGGTGATTTTGGGGAAGAACACAGGGAAATCGGGGTCCTCTTGGAGGAGTGCTGAGGAGAGCGGCCCATGGGCACACAAGGTGACAGTGTGTGCTATAGCAGGCAGGGGGAGAAGGTGGGGAGAATTGTAGGTCTGACAGGGCCACATCCCGCTCCACAGGGACACACTGAAGCCTCCATGGCCTGCACGCTAACTTGGGCTGAGCTGCTGCTTCTCGGCTGCTTCCTCTTCTCCGGCCTGTAAGTAGCGTCATAAGTAATGGCTCCGGCTGTAAAACAGCACAGGTTCTGAGCGCGAAGAGGTGGGGTTACTGCTCACAGGATCCCAGCTGGAGTAAGTGAAGTCATAAGCCTGCCTTGTACTTAACTGGTCACTTGGTAGTGGTTTGGGCGAGAGTCCTGGCAGGACAGCCAAAACGCAGACATTCTGCTTTCAGCCAAACATAATGTTCGATGGAACATTTGATGGAATAATAACCAGATCAGGAGAATGCAAAGGCCGGTGCTGTTCCTCCTGAAATCTGCTCCAGGGCTCCCATTTTCTGCATGGCTCTGGATCAACCACAGTCCTGGCTCGCAGCTGCTTGGGGCCACAAGATGCCGTCCCATATTGGGTCTTTTTTTTTTTGCAACGTTTCATCGCCAGCCGCTGTCAAGAGCATTGTGGTGTGTGCGAGGAAGAGGCTGTGAGGGCAGAGCTGAGCCCGCGCCTCGCCCAGCAGAGGGCCCCCTTTCTCAGCTAATGAAAATACTGCACTTTATACCAAAGCGCATTGCCAGCCATGCCGGGCCCTAGCAGTGCCGAGTCCTTGGGTTACATCTTGACAGTGCTGTATGTTCCTCAATACCTAACTATGAAAGTTTGTAGTGAACCTAGAGCAACATGCATGGCATTACTAGAAGGTTTTGTGGATTAATATTATAAATGTGTGTGAGTGTGTGTGTGTGTGTATATCTATACGTGTGCGTGCGCATGCATCTCTAGCAGTTCCTTGTCCTGCTTCATGCATCATTTAAAAAAAACAAAAATCCTTTGTTGATCAGAAGGACACCTTAAGTGTCCTTCCTTAAGTGATGCAAAAATGTAGTTCTGCAAATGCAAATCTATAGATTTAATAAGCACCAGTCTCAAGTGGTGAATTCCTAAGTTTAAGTAAAAGTTAAGACAAGGTAATTGTGTGAAAATGTAGGTTTGTGCACATCAGTACTTTTTTTTTTTTTTAAAGAAACAAGTGATCCAACTTATATTTACACAGGCACTGAAATTAAAAAAAAAAAAAACAATAATAGTAAAAAAATTGCCCTTGGAAACCAGATTTTTTTTTGTCATCATTCTTTCAGAATACACTTATATACTGTGGTCATATTAATGGAAAAGTGTATTACCCCCCTTTCTGCTATTTTTTACGGTAAATAGGAGACATATCAGTTACTGTCAGAAGTTGGATTTTTCTCTTCTCTTATGTACTGTCATTAGTTCAGAAACAGAGATTATAATCTCTGTTTGAAGTCGGCTGTACTTTTATGACTCTGGTGCCTTAAATGATATACAGAACTAGCAGTTTTTTAGTAGACAAAGGCCAAAACTAGAAAAGCAAGAAATTGTTCTTAATGAAGCATTCAATTAGCTATTAAACACTGAAAATATACTGCAGATATTTGGGGTTTCAGTGTAAGGGACAGGTGGATCTTGGTAGGTTTGGCATTTTGTACACAGGACAATTTGGATAAGTGGACTGGTTTGGGGGGGAGGTGAAAACTTTGCAATGCCATTTCCGTAGCGCAAGGGAGCCGGCGGCTCTGCAGGCAGACAGCATGGGGTTCTCACTGCTTCCAGCGAGAAGCCAGAGGGAAATATTAATCCCTTTCCTGCCTTTCTCTTTGGTCCACTTCCCCTTTCACTTTTTGATTTTTTTTTTTTTTTCCATGTAAAAGTGCAGATTGGGGGAGGTTAGCTGGGGCGCACAGGCTCTTTAGTTGCTGCCCCACTTCTTCAGCAAGGGTGACCCTCCACCAACCTGGCAGCAAGGGGGACGTGTGTGAGCGGGAGTGCTTCCTCTCTGTGCCTTTCCCCACCTGCCTGACCAAGAAATGAAACGAACCAGCCTGAGGTGCTGCAAAACACCAGGGGCAAGGACAAGCGTTTGGGTGTGCGTGGAGTGGGTGAAACGCGCCCCCCTTGGTGTGAGGGCTTGAGGCAGCGCGCGAGCGTGTGGGAGGTGCCGCTGCGCTTGTGAGCGAGTGCCCTGCACGGGGCTCTGCTGCGAGGCACAGCTTTCTGCAAGGAAGATTTTATTCCTTTTATTTTTTTATTTTTCTGAACAAAGTGAGCCATTTCCTGCATTTGGCTGTGCCTAGTGCTTTTCTTGACTTCAGTCCTGCGCTCAGCAGCCAGTGGCAGAGTCTATTTTAAGACCTCTTACAATGGTCTTCTCATTTACTTGGCTAAAATGAGAAAGTTCGCCCTGCATTGGCCACTTGGATGCTGATTGACAACTTTTCCTTTGAATCTGGCCCCCCTCCCCCACTTGATATCCCTGGCTCAGCAAATATTTGAACCTGCCCAAGTTAATCACAAAACTGAGATCATTATCTGAGAGAGATGTGCGAGCTACTGAGGGTGTTTTTTATCTTTTTTTTTTTTTTTTTTTTTTTTTTTTAAACAGTACTAAAGTCAGGTTCACTTTTTAATGATGAACCAGAGTAAGCGGATACCTTCTGCACAGTGCAGGGCTCTCTGCAGTTCAGAACAGAGGGAAGGTTTGGATTTTCTGACTGCACCTTACTGCTTTTTTAGTGGTTTTTCCAAAGCCTTGATTGGAAAGCATAAACTTTATTTTTTATTTTTTTAATTATTCTTTGTTTAGTTGCTTCAGAGAAACTTCCTAAAAAAAAAAGTTTTTTTTTTTGTTTTCTTCCTTTAGAAAGTTTTCTGTAGGAGGAAACCGCTTAATTTTTCAGGTTATTGGATTGTATTTTCAGGCTGTATTACAAGGGCGAGCAGTTGTGATGCATAATTTACAAAGTAAGTGATTTTAAATTTCTGTGTGCTTTTTTTATCACCTTGTGGAGGTACTTTGCTGTAGCTGATTGCCAGGTAGAGATTTCATGGTTTTAAGATATGCGAATGAAAGGCAAGTGCTCAGCACCTCTCCAGGTTGTGCAGAGGCAATGGAAAATCTATCTGTCTCCTGCCTTTTCCTGCCCAGCAGCTGGCTTGGTTTGGGCTGAGCAGCAACGTGATTATACAAGTGTGGGCAGTCCAGAATTCGGCCACCAGTGAAACCCTGGAGACTTATTTTTTTTCCTGAAAGCCTATATTCAAAGGAATAAAAAGTCTTACTGATCCCCTGTAAAACTTAATATAGTCTTTTGTCAGAAAACTTTTATAACCTAATTTAAATAATTACCTTGGCAACTCAAGTGTTTGGGTAGCAGGTGGGCTAAACCTTCGAGCTCAGTGCTTGGACTTGTGTCTGGGATGATCTTAAGTATCTTATTACACTTTAGAAATGGAAAGCATCTTTGAACATGTCTACCTAAACAGGGAGGGGAAAGTGAATTTAAGCCTAACATATCAGCAAAGTGGCATGTATTTCTTTTTTGTTGCTGTTGGTACTCCAGCCGTGTTCTTGCATGTTAATGCTTGTCGAAAGCGAGTGAGCTAGCAAAGGGCACAGAGGGAGGGTAGATATGTGTGAAATATTTGGGAAGGGTATAAATTGCATTAATTTTTAATGAGTATTTATGAGATAGAGCATATTTAAGCCGCACGAGGATTTCTTATGATGTAGGCACTGATAGTTGCCACAGTGACTTTTTGTTGTGGTTATTTTTGGTATCTGTTTTTCTGCCCCTATACATTATAGTGAATATAAAGCACTCGGATCGCTCTGGATTAGTAGTATATTCTGCACATGTTTCTTCCAAGAGCTCTGAGAGTTAGTGATGGGGGAGTTAAGAAAGAATTTTCCTAAGTAGCAGGAGGATACTGATGACATGGAGTCAACTTAGGAGGAAGAAACTGACAATGACTCTTGCTTTTAAAAACAATTAATGTGATAAATAACTCAACGAGAGCAGGGTAGAGAAACAGTGTGAAAAGGCAGACTAAATCTTGTTATATCCTGACAGAGCCTCTTTTTATGTTCAGCAAAATTATTATTCAAGATCTTTCTCAATGCTGACTCTCTTCAGTGGTTTAAAAAAGTCTCATTGACATCCTAAATGTGAGATTACAGTATTTGATTTTTAGATTTCAAAATTAGTTAGTCCAGATGATTACTCTTGTATTGCATTACAAACTAATACAGATTAAAAAAAAAGACTTCTCCGTAGTGAGTACATTTTGTGTATTAATAGCAAATGTGTCAGTGCTTTGTGTTCCTAAAACTACAGGAATTTGTGAAGTTTAAAAATATAATATTTTAAGATGTTTATGTGTATACGTGTGTACAATAGATATCCACACACCTGGAGTCATGCTCTGATTCCCTTTCCTGTCTCATTGTGTGCACAGTCGGTGCACATGCTTATTAGAGCTTTTTGAATGCTCAACTCTGTGCACGGGGTAGGAGATTGAAACCGAGGAGTGACCTGTCTACACCTCTAAGCGGAGCTGCCCTGCGCGTGCCTGTGCTGCGCGCGTGTGTGCAAGCTACGTGCTGCAGCACACCAGCCTTTGTCACCCTGCCAGGCTCGGAGACTGTACCAAGCCACAAGGAGCCGGGAGCAGGAACTGGAGACGGGCATGAGGGGAGAGCCGCCCTGGCTCCGCGCTCGCAGCAGCGGCTCTCTCGTGCCGGGCGGCTGGATGCAGATTCCTTCTGAAACTGAAATTGTTTTAAGATTAATGTAGAAGCGAATGATGAAGCAGGAGGGGTCTGGTGACATTATTTTGACATGATTGGCTGAGGATCATGATGTAATAGGTTACAGTGCAGCCCCTTATAGGTTTTAAAATGAATTCCAAGACACCATTACAAAGAGAGCCTGACTCTTTTCTTATATCTGTGCTTACTCTGTGAAACTCATACAAATGTACAATACTGTTTGGAATATGGAAGAGCTGGATATAGACTATCCTAAGACAGATATAAATTGTGGCACAGACTTGATGTTTTACATAGAAATGGATCCACCAGGTAAAGCTGCAGTCTTATTATGAAAGACAAATTCATTTTGGTCTTTACGATAGCTTCTGAAAAATCCTTAGTATATATTTAAGGTTTACTTTGTTGTTCATTCAGATAGTTTTTCTTTATATACATAAGAATTAAATTGTATTTTAGTGCATGGTTATAGTAATTACCTGTCTGCTTACTTAACTGTTTTTTTTTCTGAATTGACCTGTTTCTGTTTCATTTTTATTTTGTCATATGTAGCTCTAGCTCTGCTATTATATTGTAAAAATGTTGCATATCTTTTATTATTACTATTTTTGCTATCTATGCTCTACATTGTGGCTAAAAGAGATGTTGTAGCAACACTTGTATTTCCTGAAACAGTGATTACAAATCATTACTTTGGATTGTTTCATGAAAAACAATTTTAAAAATGTACCTGTTAATTGAATTTTTGATATCACATCATTTTATTGTGTGGTATTAAAAATATTAAGCTGTCTTGTCATTCATCGCAATTATAAAAGTACTATCTTTTGTAGCCAGTCTTATTATACATAAAGGGATGTTTGTAAGGAATGCTATACTTACTAGAGAACTGCAAGAGCTGGTTTGATTTTTAATCCTCTTTCCCATGTAGTCCCCCTTGCTAGTAAGTCAGGAGTGCTGCAGTATCTTCTCTGGCACTCACTGGTATACGTATGCAGCTTTGACATTGAGAAAAGAGGATGTGGTTTTTAATCAGTCCTGACATTTGGAGCACAGTTTATTCTGTAGAATACCAAGATTAACAGAAGGGATATATGGGTCACAGATGGGTTTCCTAAAGTAGTTTTCAGCAAATCATTGCGCAAATTCTGAGTATCAGAGAAATCAAATTCTTCTGCAAATGCACAGTCTTGCTGTGGGTTTACATTGTTTTATCATCTAGTACTTAGGTGAGAAAATAACATCATTCCTCTAACATCATTGTATAGGAGGAAAAAAGAGATTTTACATGCTTTACCATTTATATTCATGTAAGGACAATGGAATGAGGCAAAAACAAACTTCAGATTATTTTTTCCAAATGCTTTCTTGACTTAAGGGAGAGGTATGGTGTTGTTTTGCATAAAATATGTTATTGCAAGAGTGATGTACTTTTTGAAATACATCTTTCTTGTTGAATTATTTTTTTTCCAACAAAATTTCTTGATTCTTTTAGCACAGTTTAAAGACTGTCAGTTTTTTTTACCCGTTCTTTTTTTCTCATTCATATTCTAAGGTAAAATTCCAAGGTATATATGATCAGGTTTTCAGTGAGTTGTAACCAACTTTTTCTCCTTTTCATCTGCAGCACTGCCTCCTAAGCCACCAAAACCTAGTACTGTGACTAACAACGGTATGAATAACAACATGTCATTACAAGATGCTGAATGGTACTGGGGAGATATCTCAAGGTAAATCAGCTCAAGATGTATATTTCCTGTATTCGTTTTGTATTCTTGCTGTGTTATTTTATATATGTGTATTCTGTTTAAGCATAGAAAAAATATAGTTCCAAGACCCAGTTTTAGGATATTTTCCAACACTTAACATATCGCAGCTGTTTTTGTGCCAAACATGACTAAAAAGTTACTGGCAGTCAGTTAGAATGTAATATGTAGAATTGTTTGGTGTTCGTTGTATTATTGCAAGACAGCTATGTGAAATGAGAGGACAACACTAAGAAATGAGTATTTTCTTTTCTTTCATTGAGACCCTCAAATCCAGGCACAATAGTTAATAATAAACCAGACTAGCAAGTGCCATATATTAGCAACATTTTTAACTGTACTATATATAGATACATTAGACCAGCACTGGCTTCTCCAATTGCCTGGGCTTGTGTGAACAAGCAGAAAGACCTTTACATTTATATTATTTTGTTCCAACAGTCAGAAGATATTGAAGATGCCATTTTTATATTCCATTTGTTCACTAGTAATATTATATAAACTATTAAGTAACTGTGGTCATATGGAGATCAGGAAGGCTCTTTAAAAATCGTTCTTTTAAAGCAGAAGAAATTAGAGCACAGTGAGAGAAGAAATGAGTGAGAAGTAGCTGAAATCATTGACTGCTTTTGATTTCATTTTAGGGAAGAAGTAAATGAGAAGCTTCGAGATACTGCTGATGGTACCTTTTTGGTACGAGATGCTTCAACCAAAATGCATGGGGATTATACCCTTACACTAAGGTATGACAGCTACACTGGATTGGTAACCCCTGATAGTATACATGAAATACTAAATATGAAAATGCATGTTCTTTAGGCAATAGTATTTGAATTATGCCTGACTTTTCAACAAATTTCATTTGCAGGAAAGGAGGAAATAACAAATTGATCAAAATATTCCACCGAGATGGGAAATACGGTTTTTCTGACCCACTAACTTTCAACTCTGTGGTCGAGCTAATAAACCACTACCGGAATGAATCTCTAGCCCAATATAATCCTAAACTGGATGTAAAATTACTGTATCCAGTATCTAAGTACCAGCAGGTAATTTGGTTCATTTTCTTTGTGTTACACTTAAGTACAGAGAAGTTACTACCATCTGAGGTGTCACTGATTATGGAGAACCTCACGCCTGTTGATATTTGAAAAAAAGGAGAGGATAGAAAGCTAGATTGAAAAAAAAAAAGTCACAAATTGCAAATAGGTAGTTAAAACTTTACATATTGTATACACAAGAAATAAACTCATTGTGCTAATAAATATACCACTCATTAACAATGGAATATATAATTTTCAGTACAAAGCTGTGCATTTGCAATGCAGATTTTTTATCATTAATTTTGTTCCTAATTTGCATATTATATGCATATAGTATGTGGTATCTGCATATTGATAAGAGAGATACCACCTCTTCAATGTAAAATATTTGGGCATTTTTAAGCGGCATTATCCTGCAAATCTGTGCAGTGTAATTGTTTCTTTACTGAATATATTTCCTTCTTCCCATCCTCCCAGGATCAAGTAGTAAAAGAGGATAGCATTGAAGCAGTGGGAAAGAAATTACATGAATATAATACCCAGTTCCAAGAAAAAAGTCGAGAATATGACAGACTCTATGAAGACTATACAAAAACATCTCAGGTGAGCTATGTTCGAAACCAGGCAGAAAGTGGAGATTGTCTTTTCTGGTTTTAGAAGAATATTACTACAAATCCATCCTGACATCTCTGACAGCCGCCTCCTCCTGCTCCCTTCTTCTACCACTACCATTGCCCAAAAGAGGAGACGTGCTTGATGTGCTTGCTCAGTATGATGGAATTGCTTACTCATGGTTGAACCATCACCACCTGCAACCTAACCCCATGGTTAAGCCCGACTCCTGCATCCAGAGCTAGCTCAGAACTCCCTTGGTTAGCAGCACTTCTGCACACTGACCTCATCACGTCAAGCACAGATTTTCAAGACATATTTGTAAGGGACCATTGTGTTTTATTATTAGTTTTTGAAGAGGCTGGTTTCATCTACACAGAATGGAGAGGTAACATGTAGTTATAGTGCAGGATTGAAAAGGTGGCTGTATGCTTCTTTCATTTTAACGGGGTCTTGAAATGCCAACGGAATTAGTGCTGTTGGTGCTCTTTTACAGCCTCAGGATCAAGACAGCTTCCTACAATATAGAGGAAATATGCCTAAAAATAACCAAAGCAAGGTCTAGGTATTCAAGCAACCTGAAAGTTGCCTTAAAGACTTGGATATCATCTAGCTGTGTAGGTACAGGAGGATGGAATAGATTAAATCTGGAGATTTGTTCAGTGCTACATCTTAGAATGCAGCTATACTTCCAAGAACATTAGTTGTTAGAAAGGGCAAAGTGCAGTGCCATAAACTTCCAATTCTCACAAATAAAACTTATTTATACAAAACAAATATTGAAACTAGGCCTTTGTCTAGCAGTTTGCCTTTCTTGGAAAGCCTCATGGTGTTAGCAGTTTGCACAGGCCCGTTTTCTATTTTTTGTAAGGCTTTGCAGACAGAATGCATTCTTAGAGAAAGGATTGAAGCCATTTTGTTACAACATACTGAAGTCTCTTTGCAGTGATACAAGCCAATAAATCATCCCTTCTGTTTGATAAGAACTATAATAACAATTATTTTATTTTCAGGAAATTCAAATGAAGAGAACAGCTATTGAAGCATTTAATGAAACAATAAAAATATTTGAAGAGCAATGCCAGACACAAGAAAGATACAGTAAGGAATACATTGAAAAATTTAAACGTGAAGGAAATGAGAAGGAAATACAAAGGTCAGTATTTGTATTTGCACTTCAAATTGTGTGCTTTTTAGGAAAGAAACAGTATGAAGTATAGATCTACCCAAAATTATGGTACATTGGCAAGTATACAGTTGTTCAGTTGTAAGCTAAGCAAGCCTCAACTAGCATAGCAGTGAGTTTGCTCAATGTGCACGTAAATCTAGAGAAAGAATCTATTCTCTTAAATGTCTACCTGAAAATATAGTAGATTAAGTTGTGAATAAGACATGAGAATATAACCTAGCAAATTATGCCATCCAGAATTATGCACAACTATGAAAAATTGAAGTCTCGAATAAGTGAAATTGTGGACAGCCGACGTAGATTAGAAGAGGATTTGAAGAAGCAAGCAGCAGAATATAGAGAGATAGACAAGCGTATGAACAGCATTAAGCCAGACCTGATACAGCTGAGGAAAACAAGAGACCAGTATTTAATGTAAGTACCATTATGAATTAATAAAAATATATTCTAAGTTTAATTCTAGTAACATCTGACTTCTCTGAATAACAACTGTTTTGTGTGATTTTTGTCTAGGTGGCTGACTCAAAAAGGTGTTCGGCAGAAGAAGCTTAATGAATGGCTGGGCAATGAAAATACAGAAGAGTGAGTACTAAAAGATTTAAATATTCCTGGCATTTCAATTCATCTTATACAATAACGAGATAACGCATATTTAATTCCATGACCACAAAGAGGAAATTCAAGCCTAGTTATCCACTGGCAGTGTACACTTAACACATGGCAGCCTGCATAATGCAAGCATTAGAAAGGACTCTTACCTCAACCGCTACTGCCTTTGTTCAGAGAGGCACCTATACAGCAAAATAGCAAAGCACTGGAACTTAACCGGTGTCTTTATTCTTGCCAGTGAAGTAAATGTCATAAGGTGTTAGTATCTTGGAGGGATGTTACATGGAAGGGTAAATGTTCATGTCTCAGGCATAGGCAGGCTCTTTTCAGAGCTCAAATGTTAGTACCAGGGAGACATCCAGCATAGTGGTACCAAAGTACTATATCACCGTGGTATCAGGGTGATCAAATGTGTTTGTTGAAGAGTGATTCTTCCCTGGTTTATGGTCTGGTTAATTTTTTGATAAGTAGTAGTAGCAAGATAGTACTATGTCATTTGAGCAATTCAGTTTCATTTATGTTTTTGACGTGGGCTTGGCCACTGAATAGGTATCATTTAATTCCTGGGTGAAAGGCATCCAGTTGGTGAGAATGTAAACCAAATAACAAAATGCAAGCCATTTTGTTAAGCCAAAAGTGACATAAAGTCACAGTTTAAAATACTATGCATAGAAGCAGTGAACAAATGTATATATGAATAAATTTAAAAAAAAACAGAATGCTGTAAGTAAAAAATCCATAAAATCCATATCAACGCTGTCACCTATGTAATTTCCTGTGCAAGCTTTTTACACTGCCTTGCTGAGTGACATGCAGCAAGAACACCAGATTGACAGTGACTGTTTTGTGGGCTTACATCCTAGGCTTGTCCACATTAGTGGTCTGTTTTAGTTTGGTTTGGTTTACTGAGTTACCTACTGTTATCCTGGAAATTGTGCATCTCTGCTGTGACTGCCTTGGTAGAAATAAGGTTACAAAAATCGCACAGACATTTTGAAGCTGTGTTGTTCACGCACAGATCAAAGGTGATATAATGGAGAATATGTAGCCACCAGTTACCACTTGGAAAATGTGTTGTTCTCGCAACAAATTTGGAGACGTCTTCTTTCATGGTGGTCTTGAGCTTGGAGGGGTTCTATTCAACTTTGAATTATCTTTATAGTTGGTGACTGTTTTGGAAGAAATATCTGTATTATATGCTCTTCTTATAACCTAGATATAAGTAGGGAGACCACTGTATCATTTCACCCTTTTCATGCAGCTATCTCCCCTATGAGTAATTAGTCTGTCTACTTGTACGGCTGCTCATAGTTTTCCCAAGCAGCAGCTGTAGTCGATATACTGCATTATTTTTCACTGCTGACCAAGTATTCTGATTTGGAAATGAAGCTGACTCAGAAGGAATTGATTTCACTGGGCTTGCTATTTACCAAAACAGTGAGCAACAGTAGAAGCACTGAGGTGCTTGCAGCAGATACTGAAAGGTAAAACAGCATCCTTTTATTTCCTTCTTCAGATTTACATGAGTATTTTTGAAAGAAACAAGGACCAGAACTTACATTTTATTTTCACTCAGCATTTGAAATGTTGCCTTGATTTACCAGGAAGGCTACTAGCCACTGACTTACTTTTTAAGTAATGTGAACAGGGAAATAGTTTGCTCTTGGGTTTTGCTTGGTGACACATTTCATAAATGTATTTTGTCATATTTCAACAGCCAATACTCCATGGTAGAAGATGATGAGGACTTGCCGCATCATGATGAGAGAACATGGAATGTGGGGAATATCAATAGAAGCCAAGCTGAAAATCTGCTGCGGGGCAAGCGAGATGGAACATTCCTCGTTCGAGAGAGCAGCAAACAAGGCTGTTATGCTTGCTCTGTCGTGTACGTACCCTGCTTTGAGAAGGATGGAATCTGAGGGGCAGATGCATACTGGCATATGTAGGGACCCCACTGTATCTCGGGCTGAGAAGCAGATACCAAACTGCCTGAGACCACCCATTCCTTATTATGCTCCTCCCTTCCTACATAGCTCCATCCTGTGGCACTGCTGCAGATGAGCCTCATGGAGACGGAGGGGAATTAGAGCATGGAATATCTTCTATATGTGCATCTGTAGTGTCCTGTCTGTCTACTGGCTTTCAAAGTTAACACATCATCTGGGAATTTTGGTTAAACCTAGACTTCTACCATTATCCCACCATAAAAGACAGAAATTCCATACAGTGAACAGCATTGGAAGATGTTTTGCCAATACCTTATTTACCAGTTCAACTTGATTTGTACTGTCGAACTAAAATCTGCTTTTTGTTTTCCTTTTTAGGGTGGATGGAGAAGTAAAGCACTGTGTGATAAACAAAACACCTACTGGGTATGGATTTGCAGAGCCATATAACTTGTACAACTCGCTGAAAGAACTGGTGCTACATTATCAACACACGTCGCTTGTGCAGCACAATGACTCTCTCAATGTCACACTAGCCTACCCAGTATATGCACAGCAGAGGCGATGAAGATGTTAATACTCTGGGCTGTTTGTTTTTTTTCTAAAGAAAAGATTTGACAACATTGAGGCCTCTGGAGAGAGAAGGCTCCTTTCAGCCTTACTCAAGAATTTGAGCTGCAGTATCAAAGCTATCTGTCTTCAGATGGGACTAGAGCTTTTCTTCACAACTGCAGTGGGAGAGATCACAGCATTACGCTGTGAACGTATGTTTCTAATCTGAAGTGCTTTTTTTTAATTAAGAAAAGAAAAACACAAGAGAGAGAAATCCTAACCTGATCTCCCTGCAGGGACATAGAGGCCTTTAACCATGGTGCTTGTTTACGACCACTTCTGAAGCTTTACCAGCCAGAATGTTGGATTCTGCAGACCACAGGTGTCAGAGGTCTTTGTGATCTGGTTATCGGAATTTCTTGGTCACGACCTGGTTTGGATTTGTTGTTGCTGCACTCGGTGGATCCAGACACACAGCATTGCGGATTTTTTGGATTCTGGTGAAAGATATGTAGCAGAACGGCACTTTCATTTCTAAGGGACACTTTAAAAGGACTTCAGTTACAGTATGTTGTTCAGAGGAATTGTAATAGCAAAGTGCCAGGAAGTGTTTTGTTCAGATGTTTAAAAATCCTGTTTTAAGAATATATTTAAGACTGAAGAAAACAGGACTTTCAATGGCATACAATATATAATAATGTAAATAGTATTGGATGACTAGCTATCATTGATGGAAACTATCAATACCAAACTGCTTCTCTCTCCCCTTGTTGGTTTGCCGAAAGCTGAATCCTTAGACCGTGCTATGCAATACTGAATTTTCTTTCGGCTTTGGTCTTGTCTCAAGCATATCTACAGGTTAAGCTTGTTTTTCATTCTTCTTTCCTTGCCTTCTTTTTCTTTCTTTCTTTTGCCTGAGAATATATTTCCTGATGATAATTTTTTTTTTTTTTAAGAAATGTACAGGAAGCCAGCAAGAGAATTAAAACTATGAAATATTTTACCATTTTCTTTGTATAGAATATTGAGCTACTAGCTCAAAGTTTAAAAAGTTCTTCTTTTTTGACTAAATATTTTGTTGGGCAGTGCCTGATAAGCTTCAAAGCTGCTTTATTCAATAAAAGTATATGAACATTACAAATTATCAATGAGTCCAACAATATTGTTTCAGAGATATCTTTAGAATACGGTACCATGCTATGTTTGCTTCATGAAGCATTTTGAATTTCTGTCTTGATTGTCTTTGTATTTGGAAGAAGAAAAGTTGTATATCCTTCTGTGATAAAGACTGCAGAAAAAAAAAAAAAGATTTGGCTGTGAGGAGAGGTTGAATTTGAGAATGAATCTGCTCTTCACAGTAAATAAATGACATCTTGACCTACTGTTGCAGAATTTTTGTTAGCATGTTGAGATATTTTCATTTCATATGAAGGAAGCTTCTCTAAGATGTTGCCTAGGATTTTTTATTGTATTAGTGTTGTGGAAAAAATCTCACCTTTGCTCAGAACAACTGGATGCAACGTAGAGCTAATTAAGATTGGAAAACCTATGTTTTAAATCTCATCAGTCTGTCATAATTAACATTTTGGATTTATTTTCATAAGTTTATGGTCTAAGGCAATATCAAAGCGAATACTTTTACAATTCAGCACCAAAGACTTGTAGAATTGTAGTTTTGTTAAAGGAAACATCTATGTGAATCCTACTAACACAAACTTAATAAGAATTCTGGGGATATTGATTGTTCCTCTCTGCAAGGGCCAGGAGCAACACATTGACTGTGGGTGACTTGAAATGGTTAATAATTTCTGAAACTACACTGAGTAAATTCACATATTACGAAATGATAAAATGTTCAGAGGAGTCTTGAAAAAGTTCTGTCTGAGTGAAGATAAGAGTTTACTCTTCCCTTGACATACAAAGGGAAAACCCATTACTATTAAAGGCAGTTGTACACATACAATCAAAAGAGTGTTCTCTAATAATAGCTCTCTTTTAGAAATACCTGTTTTAAGACAAAGTATGCAGCACTTATTAAGCTATTGGAAATAATAAGAAATTTGCCAGTCACCAGTATTTTTATATTATCTCTTAATTTTTACACTATCCCTTCATTTCTGTTGCTTTAAGGCATTTATTTTGATTTTGTGCTCTTTTTTGGTGGATTATTCTTTCTTTCCTGTTGATGTATTTTCTTACTGAAACTTGTATCAGGAAACAAGGTTCAATCAATGTTAATATATCAAGATCGTCATTGCCTAAAAAAAATTACTCAAATTCTTTTTTTTTTATGAGTAGAATTTTATTCTTTATCTCTTCCTTCCTCATTCTCCCCCAGTCAGGTGTCTCAGAATGGGACCATGTGAATTTAGTTTTCTAGTAACTTTCTTCTACTATTGAAAGCCCCAACAGGTGGTTGCATGACAGTCATACTACTGGGCTTAAAGTTAGAAATCTGTTCAGTGTGCAACAATTTAACACTTAGAGCAGTCCAAAATACTCTTCTGATGTTACTTTTGGAAATTTAAAGTGTAAATTTGTACCTTTTTTTCCTCTAAGAAAATTATATGTAATTGATGCTTCACTTAAATACAGATTTTCTTGATAAATATTATTTTCTTTCTAATTTGGATCTTTTTTTTTCATATTAAGAAAACTTGTGCTATGTCAGTGGGCCGTATTCTTAGCATGCCTTGCCCATTTTGGGATGACATCTGTGGCTCTGTCGTGCCATGCTACTTTACGACATCTGTGGTTACAGCAGAGAAAAATAGTGTTTGTGCAAATTTGGCCCTGGCTTTTCTTCCATAAGCAACAGCAAGTCAAGCACTGTGTTGTGGGAACTAGTACATAGGGCTTCTCAGGGAGAAGTCCCGCCTATGCAGAGTCTGTACAATGTACAAGGATCACTTAAGCCCTCGAAAGAAGGTCTGTGGTATCCCAGCTTTGGGTGGTCTCTGCATTTCCCTTCCTCTACAACACACAGCACTGCATCCTGCCAAAGGCCCTGTGCACTGCAGGGTTGTTTTTCCTTAATATATCATATTGCTCACTCCACTTCTGATTTTATATAAGACAAACTCTCTGGAAAAAAAATGTGAATATTACAGAAGAAACATGGTGATTTTCTGTATTTCTATTGATATGTAGTGTTGCCATCTAATAGTGGTTTGGGGTGGGTTTTAGTTCAGGTGTTTTTTGTTCTTTTGGGGATAGAATTTTTTGTTTGTTTGTTTTTAAATCCCTGAATTATGCTGTACTGCAGCAGCACTTTCACAAGGCTTTTGAAAGCTATGACATAGCACAGAGAACCTAGTACTCTTAAGCAATATGATGAAAAACGTGCGAGTTTTTGTTTAAATTTGGAATTGAGGGTTTGGGAGTCTGCATGGTTGTGCAAGTATGTGCACACATATGTGGTGTGGATGTATGAATAGATCCTACGATAGGTCCGCTTGCACCAAACATAATCTTTTTGCTGACTTCAGTAAGTGACATCATTAATTTTGTTTACACACACACACATTATCTAGGTCGGTGCAGCATGTTTCTGAATACAATTAAAAGACTAAGTTTCTGGGTTTTTTTAAATATATATTTTGTTTTAAAAGCTTGTCTGTATTGTTCACTTATCTAAGAAATCTTGTCAAACAATCTGCAAAAACAAATTTTCAAATTTACTATTTGGTGTCAACTGTCTGTATAGTAAAGAAATGGCTTTGTCTTTGTAATTGGCAATGAAATAATAATGCTTCTAATGGGGAAAACTTCTGCCAATTTTCACACAGTGCTTTTGCTATGCATGGTATTAAGTTGGGAAAGTGAATCCTGATGCTTTTTTTTTCAGGGTCACTTCAGAAATGGGCAGCTCAGCGCACAATGCCTCCCATGGGACAAGGTTCCAAAATGCAACATTTTATGTAGAATAATCCTGTATTTACTGCAGTAGAAGATTAAATGGGCTGTGTGAGTTGGTAATGTTATATTGCACTTGTCCTGATGAGACTGCATTAGCTGCCCAAGATGCTGCTATTTTTTTAATTATTATTCTTGTTTTAAAAATAAAGCTCTGTTCTGTTAAATGTGTTTAAAACATTAAGATTACTTTGTTTCAAAATGGTCTTTGAGGAGGTGGAGGATAAGGTGAGTTGTAAATTGCCTTTACAAGGCAACAATGAAAACTTGCCCCCTTGAAATTTTGTTCAAGCATAGAATTGATGGAGCCGTGTATTGGTTTTAAGTTGCTTTAAAAAATGTACTAAATCTTCAAGCAGAATAAAGGTTGTTTTGAAACAGCATTTCAATTGTTGAGGCTTCAGTAAGGACTGAAACATTTATTCAACAGACTCCTTTGCTGACTTTTCCTCTATATATGTGCCCTACTTTAAAAATGCCCATAATATAGGGAACTAGAAAGCAAATTATTTCAGCTAAGTCACAGCCCTCCTTTTTACTGAACTGAATGGAGTAGCTGAGTACTTCCAAAATAGACTCATACCAACTAGTGTTAAAATGAGAGTTCTCCTAATCTCATACTCCTCCTAAAGCAGTATAAAAGTAATGACCTATAAGTCTGCCCTTTTATGCTGCAGATAAGATTCTGGCTCTCCTGAAATCAGTGCAAATTTTGTCACTGATTTCCATGGAGCAAGCTTGACAAACTTTGTATCCAAACCTAATCTGATAGCTGCGTGAATGTACCAGACTGTGAAAACCAATACGAGAACGAAAGATAAAGTGAGCAGGAACAGGGCAAGATCGGTTTGAGTACTGTTTCCTTGCATTCATTACTAGAATAGAGTATCTTAATTTCTTCACACCCATCTGGATTCTGCCTCAGGAGGGGTTATCCAGAGATGCCAGGCAAGCAGTCCAGAAACACAATGCGATTCCTGTTCCCATTCCAAAATCTGCCCGTTTTGCTCATTGCAGTGACATAATACCCTTGGCCAGTATCCGGGCACCACAGAACTGTAGTAGTTACTAGTAATTGCAACACTCTGACTACACCTTAGAGGTTCCTATAAAAACAGAGATTAAAAGCTACTCTTGCAGTTTTTCTCCATTTATTATAAAGTGGCGTTGGATCTCAGATGACCAGACTTTTTGCAGCTTGCCTTGTTAGTAAACTGTTTGCTTTAAATAGGCACTATTCTTTTAAATAGTTGAGCTCTTTTCTGCTCCCAGAGTATATGTTTAGGCACACAATCTCCTCTGCAACCCCAGAGCTCAACATCTAAAAATAAGGTTAGTTAGGTCATGAATCACACATCTTCCATCATCAGCTATTGGGAGGAATTATGACTGGATGATAATAATCTGCAGACCAGCAGATTTCTGGCCAGTATCATACACTGCATAGAAATCATACTTGTCAGACAGTGGAAAAAATAGTTTGCAAAAATGTCATTCTATTTTTGTTGTCTACAGACAAACACACTCCCACTTCTCTGCTTTCTTGCTGAGATTTGATGGTCATTTTTCCCTGGCAATAGGAAAAGCTGCATTCAATTAAATTTATCTTTGTGCAGTTACAAGTGGATGTGATTTTTTTTAACGGCTGACAATGCTTTTTGTGTTGTTTTTGCCTTCCCCACACGCCGCCCCCCGCAGCTGGCGTGCACACTTTTTTTTTTGACTTGCGCTATGTCACATGTACAGTCATTTCTCCACACAGGTCCCTTTGTCCAAGCAGGGAAGCCCAACAGGCAGAGCAAGTGCTGGGCAGCTCTTGGCTTCTTCAACCTTCACTGAACGACTGGGCAAAGGCCTCTCACCCCTGAGGGCAGCTGAGCTGCATGCTGAGCCTGCATGGCCGGGAGACGGGCACTTCTCACGAGCAGAGGTCTCTGTGGAGCGACAGGGCAGTGCGGGGGACGGTGAGCAGGGCAGTCCCTCAGGGAGCAGGGGCAGTCTGCACCTGCACTGGGACTGCT